TTGGTTTTGCCATCAATTTTCATAATCTCGCTTTGTGAAGATCGTTCTTGTCTTGGAGGTATTTCACACGAACCATTTCGAGCCTAGTAAATAAAGTTGACAATTGGTTCCACTGCCGGAGATTAACGGTGTTGCGGCGTAGCAGTCGGTCATTTCATGTCATGAGTAGTATGTTCCGGTTTTATTAATTAGCTATTGGACTACGTAGTTTTTATTCTAAAAGAACAAACTTGTCATCTACTTCAACCCAAACTCATCTCCAAAGCAAGGTTTTTGGCAGCAATCAATAAGTGTACTGAGGAAAATACCTTTTTTCGATTATCAATGGTCATTGCTGTTTTATGCAATGAAAGCTGGTTTTAGGATTAATGGAGGCTCTAAAAGGTAAGAAAAGGAATTGGGACACATTCTTAAAGGAATTTAATATTTCTTAAACATGAATTCGGCCCACATACGATGCTTTGTTGTTCAAAAGACCAGTCATTCTCAGTGAATTGGCAATTTTGCATCGGAATTTTTGATTTCTCTTACCAAAAAATTTCGGATGGCTTTGAATGCGCTGTCTTTGTGGTTTTATCCGTTCACATTTCTTTTTTGCATAGCAAAAGGATGCCTGTTGCATGATAATCGATACGTAGTTTCTTTTTATTTTAACTAGGCAAACCTATTTTCCCCTATTGTAACTTATATTTAAAAAAAAACAAGTGTAACGCCGGATAATTTCGACAAAGTACAGGTACGATGATCTTTCAAATTTGAATTTACGAAATTCCGCCTTCGTCCAAATCGAAGCAATTCAACTTCACTTCTCCATGACATCATTGACTGTAATCTGCATATAATTTTAACTTAGGCTAAAATTTTTAAAATTTGTGCGTAGAAGGAATTTTTACCATCAAGATATGCACTTTAAAAAGTGTTTGGTTTTAAAGTGCAAATTATTTCATGAGACGTTTATCCTTTTTTTAATGGCACCTTCATTTGCTCCAAAATAATAGACCCCGTGAATGGAATGAGAGTTTGTCGAGTTTGTGTGCATTTATAATCAGAAATTCTCTTGTCGTCAATGAGGCAGAAAATTCAGCATCTTTTAGCTTCTTAAAGAACAAAAACAACTTCACGGTCTTTGTTTGGACGTCTGAATTCAGTGAAGTATTTGGCTAGAATCCTTTGACCTATTATATAATCGGGTAAAATTTTTCTGTCAAAGCAACTAAACAATAGAACGCCCTATCGGTGGCCAATGACTTTGTGAGCCCTGCTGATTGGTCATAAGTAGACCAATAAAAAGTCTTCCTGCCATGCTGGTCATTCAGCTTTATTGCAGCATCCTTACTGTTTCATATATAGAGCATTTTAATAAAATACACTGACATGTTTAGCAATAACTACTTAAAAACAACAGTAATCATCGTCTTTTTTAAGAAAATAATTTATGAAACAGCCTTTTCAACTGATGCTTCTGACGTATTTATGCGCAAAATCATTTAGTCTCTCATTTTTTAACTTATATTTGTTTGTCATAACTCTCAATGCTTAGGTATACCACCTATTATAGCAATCATTTGCGAAATTTCATTGTATTATTTTTTGACTGTACAATATTACATGAGCAATTGTTCTGCAAACATTACTTTAAATTTATTGAATTTTCTGCATCAAAGCGCAAAAAATGCAAAAAAACTGCCCGAGTTTACACAGTGTTCAAAATATTGTTAATGGTTTTGAAATGTTTAAATGTAGGAATATTGTTTGCACTCAAGCTGAGACAGTTTTCCATTGGAGGATGTAATAATACCTGTAGAGCTTAACAATTTGTTAAGAGCGAGTTGCTGTAATTCTGCACATTTGTAGGACAGCAAAAACTAGGTACTGGTTTTTTTGTCAGTAGGGTATAATCTAAATTTATTCTAGCTAGAATAGAGTCACAATTCCGGAGCTCTATTTA